ACTTTCCACATTCCCACCAGCAACAGGAAAGATGGGAACTAGAGAACTAGGCCTGTCTACCTGTCTTTTTAAAAAAGAGCTTATTTATTTATTTATTATATTATTTATTATGTATACAGTGTTCTGCCTGCATGTATGTATGCCTTCATGACAGAAGAGGGCACCAGATCTCATTATAGATGTTTGCAAGCCACCAACCATGTGGTTGCTAGGAATTGAACTCAGGACCTCTGGAAGAACAGCCAGTGCTCTTAACCTCTCAGCCATCTCTTTAGTCCATCTGTCTACTTAACATTTCTCAGCATACTTTAACCAGGAGAACAGGTTACTCATCTCTACGTTTTTGCAAAGTGTCTTCAGGAATAAGAACGGTAAAATCCCAAGATGCCCCCAGATCTGGAATTAGAACGTGAATTTTAACAAGGTCTCTGAGGATGTGTGTGTACATCGAAGTTGAGAAGTACCGTTTGCATCTTCCTGTGTACCAGTTCCAGGGTTACAGCTCAGCCTTGGTGGCAGCTGTAATAAAAACAAGTCTTTCCTCCAAATTAAAGGGAACCTGTAATGCTTCCTGTTTTGTTTTGCATTTTTTAGATTTTATTTTAACTTTTTATCCCCCCGCCCTGTGTGTGTGTGTGTGTGTGTGTGTGTGTGTGTGTGTGTGTGTCTTATGGTAAAATGATTTTTGCAGAGTAGCCCCTGGGATAAAATGATGGGTATACCTTTGAAATCTTTAGGCCCATGTCCTGGTAGTTGGGGGAGGGGAGTCCCCAAACCAGGGAAAGGTGAGGAGATCCGGCCCTCAGGAATAGGCAGGAGAGGAAACAGGGTAGATGGCAGGGTATGCCAGTCATACCTTGTAACAGTTAGGGGCTGAGGGATGCTGGAAGAGCCAGGAGGCCAAGTCCGCTTTGATATGTTAGTCACCTCAGCCATTTGTCCCTGGTTTGAAACTTAAGAATGTCCTAGTTTCATTTCTGTTGCTGTGGTAAAATACCTTGACGAAAATAACATAGAGGAAGAAGGGTTTACATGGCTTAAAAATTACAGGTCACATCCCATCATTTCAGGAAAAACTCAAGGCAGGAATTCAGTCCCATCACAGTCAAGTGCAAAGAGGGAAAACATGTCCTTGTTTGCTTTCAGTTAGCCAGCTTCACTTTTATCCTGTTTGGAAGCCCCAGTCCCCGAGGGATGGTATCATATACAATGGTTATGTATCTTCACATCAATTAATTATCAAGATGTCCTCCACAGACATCTCCACAGGCCAACCTGATCTAGTCAATTCCTCATTGAGACTCACTTCCAGTCGAATCTACATTGTGTCAAGTTGACAGTTAAAACTAACCAGCACAATTAGGAAATATTCTTGAGCTTACTGAGTTTCCCTGTTTCTCAGCCACAGGTGAAGATTTTATGGTAAGAACCTCAGAGATCTGCCCACAGCTTTCTTCTGATCAAAGTGACTCTGAAGACGTTTGGGTCCTGCAGTTGGAACTTATTTCTATGGAGCTAATATGACAGTTCATGGCAAGCAGATCCTTTTATAATTGTGCTCTATTCAAAGAGTATTAAGTCAGTTCATAGACACCTAGAGGCAATGCCAGTTAAGGCACGATCCTTCCTTCTGTGTCAGTGTGTGAAACCTTGTCCCAGTAAGCCAGAGGTTGTGTGGATCAGAGAAGTGCAGGGCAGGACAGGACATCTGATTCATCCTTGGTACAGGCAACAAGTACAGAAGTAAAAAGCCTTTGTAGCTGAAATAGGAGGGTCAGACATTCAAGGTCACCTGTGTGGCTTAGCTTAGACTCTATGAGACCCTGTCAAAAAGCAAAACACGAGGTGGAGAGGTGGCTCAGCAGTTAAGAGTGTGTACCACTTGTGCAGAGGGCCTAAGTTCAGTGTCCAGCATCCACAGCAGGTGGCTCACAAATGCCTGCAGCTGTTCTCATGCCATTGTACATGTGAATTCTAGTGCATGTACTCACACGGAGGCGCATGCATGTGTATGAGTGCGTGTACACACACACACACACACAGACACACACACACACACACACACACAGACACACACACACACGCTCACACACACACAATTTCTTAAAAAGCAAAGCAAAACAAATAAAAATAATAAAATAAAAGTAATCCCTTTTTAAAATCACCACATGGCAGTGATTCTAAATAATGTCAACAATAGCTGACCAGTGATAGCTTATGTCCAAGTAACTGCTGTTAACTGAACTTCAATGCTCACCTTTAAGTATTACTTATCCTTGAAAACGTTGATTTTTCTCCTCAAAGTTAGTTTGACAGACTCTCACGTGGATGGTCATCTCCTAACATAATGTGGCCTCGTCTACATGAGTCAACTTAAGAGTCATTTCTGAGGGTGCAGTTGCTCAAGCTGGCTCTGGCCACAGAGCATAATGCCAATACCTATGACACTGCATCCTCCAGTATTTTAAATGGATAAGAAAGGAGCAGCCATTGTAACAATGAGGAAATGGGGCTCTAACACTTGTGGTTTCCAAGGGAGCATTCCAGGTTTGGTTTGGTTTTGCTTTTGACAAAGTCTCACATGCCAGAGGTGTGGAGGTAAGGGGACAGGCAGTCAGAGTGGGTACTAGCCTTTAACCATGTGGGACCAAAGGTTAGAAGTTAGATCATTGTTCAGATCAAGGCTTAGTAGCAAGTGCTACTGCATCATCTGAGCCGTCTCACCAACTCTTAAATTTTATTGAAAAAACTAAAGTGTGTGTATCACTATTGAGTTATACCCACAGCCTCTAGTATTTAACATTTGAAGCACAGAAATTGATGAGAACTGTGTTCCATAATTTTTTTGGTTAGTACACAATATAGGTAAAATTTTCAAGTATGAGATACAGATGTGTATATATGAATAAAAATATGAAGAGTCGCTGTTAGAATGTTCTAAAACATCAGTTTGGAAATAAGATATCAGAGAAGTCCTAAGGGATCTCTGAACAGAAATGTGTGGAGTTAAAAGTGACAGGTAGCATGACTGTGTCTGTGTCTAACCTGTCCTCTTCAGATCCTGTCCTGGTCCATTCCTTTGCCTTCCTGCCTTAAGTTGGTGTTTCCCAGCCTGAGGCGGATACTTGTCCGGCTTCTTTCCCAACCTACGTCAGGCTCTCAGACTTGTGGAAGACTCCAAGCTCAGGATACCAGTATAAAAGATGACCAGACAGTTCAAAATGACCTTGGAAGTTTGGAATGCCACACTGAGAGCAGCTGGAATAAATGTGAAGCTTACACTTCCAGTTAGACAACCGAGTGCCCTGAGTGGCTCTCTGGCAGTGAGATCTGGGGCTATCTTAATGCAGTATATGTCAGAACCTAGCATAGAGGTGGATTGGATGCTTTGGGAGACCGACATAAGCCTTTAGGGAGCACAGCAGAATTCTACAGTTTAGACCTCAATGGTACCCCAAAAGGCCCAGTGTTGAAGGCATGGTCCCAGCCTGTAGCACTGCTGGGAGTAGTGGATCCTTTAGGAGGTGGGAAGTGTGCCTGTGAGGGGGTGTTTTTCCCAGCTGCCAGGAGGTGAGTGACTTCCTCTGTCATGCACACTTGTCATGAAGGCCTAAAAGCAAGGGACCACCGACCAAGGACAATAACTCTGAAGCTGTGACTTAAAACTTTCCCTATTTGTAAGCCTTTCTTCTCTTAAAATGGATTATTTGGGGGCATTTTAAAATTATACTTCTCTCTCTCTCTCTCTCTCTCTCTCTCTCTCTCTCTCTCTCTCTCTCTCTCTCTCTCTCTCTCTCTCTCTCTCTCTCTCTCTCTCTGTGTGTGTGTGTGTGTGTGTGTGTTGAACACATGGGTGAACACTGTGAAAACTGTCGAAGGACAGTTTGCAGGAATTCTTTCTTCTTACTGTGTGAGTCCTCAAGATTTAACTCATGTTGTCAGCCTTGGTGGCAAATAGTTCTATCCACTGAGCTATGTCTGCAGCTTATCATTATTATTATTATTATAATATATGGTTATTGTTATTATTGTTGCCATTATTATTATTACTACTGTGCTAGGGATTGAACCCAGGACCTTGTCTATGCTGAGCATGCTACCGCTAAGCTACAAGCTGGTTCCATATGCATACATGGGAGAGTAGCTCCACTCTGACATCTTGATTAACCCTCCCTCCTGAAGACCCCACTCAAAACACATAGTCTAAGTGTTTCCACTGCCTCCACACTTCTAAATGGCAATTACAACTCACACATCTAGACTGTACTCCAACTGTAGCAGGGCGTATGGAAAGGGCACTTTACTGGCAGGCAGGAGACCTGGGTTCCAGTTTTGACTCAGAATATGGTCTTTACCATTTTGAATTTTAGACTTGCACTTTTCAAAACGAAGGTCTCATGCTAAATGTCTCTTCTGGATGAAATTAATCCTTGAGCAGACAATTTTAACTGTGAGCAAAGTAAATCTGTTTTCTTCTTTTTGTTGTTCAGACTGGCTTCAAACTCTCCACCCTCACCTCTGTCTTCCAAGTGCTGAGGTTTCAGGTATGCTGTCCGCCAGGCTAGGTCTCTTTTCTTTATGGCTTACCTAGTTTGTGGTAATGTGTTATCTGCAACAAAATATGGCCAAAGGCATCCCCTGTTTTTAAAATGATTTAATTTTTATTTTTTAAATATGTGAATATGTGTAGCCAGGGGGGGGAAAAAAAAAAAAAAAAAAAAAAAAAAAAAAAAAACCAAAACCTCCTGACCTCCCTGCCTGTGCCAGGATGCACCACCACAACTGGTGTGAATGTGTGTATATGTAGGTGTAAGTGTGTGGCCACTGAGGCCAGAGGTGTCAGATTGCCTGGAGCTGTCATTACAGGTGGTAATGAGCCACCCGCATAAATGCTGGGACCAAATGCCTATGCAAGAGCAGTATTTGATCTTAGCTGCTGAGCCATCTCTCCAGCCCCAGCCCTTCTTCTTGACTTGAATTTCCCCCCTCTCCACTTTCAGCCTCATTAACGTTGTGTGCCACACCTGCTTCAAGAGGCAGGAGAAGCTCCACCGCTGTGGCCAATGCAAGTTCGCCCACTACTGCGACCGCACGTGCCAGAAGGATGCTTGGCTGAACCACAAGAACGAGTGTTCCGCCATCAAGAGATACGGGAAGGTGCCCAATGAGAATATCAGGTTGGAGCTGGTCCCTATGATAGGGCTTGGGATTTCCAAATGTCAGGCTGGGTCAGCAGAGGTGATAACAGCAGCATTCCCAGCCCTCAGGATGCCAGGCTGAGTGCAAAGGTCTCAGGTCCTTAATTGCACTCACCCCGTTAGGTCCGAGACAGACACTGGGCATCTATAGCAGTGAGGAAAGGCCCACAGGCCCCTGCATAGCTCCTCAATATTTAATTACAAAAAAACCCTGATCTTCCAAACTTTACACATTGTGGAAAATTATTTCTGGTTTCTCTGGAGAACAAGAATAAAAATGAAGTTCTGACAAGATGCATTGCAGCTAAACAGCATGTGTCTTAAGAGGCGGTTTTCCAAGTCAGTGAGCTCGCTGTACAATGTCCTTCTTGCAGCCCAGACACAGGCACTGACAATGCAGACCTCCACAGGAGCCACTGCTAGGACCTCAGCCTAGCACTAGAGTTCCAGCTGAGAGCTCCCAGGTGCTGCTGGCCCTGCTGGCGTTGTCCGTGCTGGGATGTGGTTAGGTGTGTAGGCTGACCTAGGAGCAAAATGGGTGAGGATACTGGTAATTAAAAGCATTTGCAGGGTGTATGGGGCATGCCAATCAAGAACGGGGCCATGGAAACTTTCAGGAATCTACAGGATGAAACTCCATTAGCCTCAGCAGCCTCCTTGTTCTATCTGCTGGAGTCATATTCTTCAAGACCTGAGACTCCCGATCTCATTCCTCGGCGCAAATCCCACTCACTGATCACATCTATTACCGACCTGAAATCTGTCACCCATTGTTCTTTCTTCTTGGGACCATATCCCCAGATACTAATCTTTCCCACACCATAACCTGAACCTTACTTTCCCCATGGTGCTCTGGGCTCTGTGTAGAAACTTTTGATTCCCAGGCACCTGGATAACCTAGAAGTGCACATTTGTTGTTGTTGTTGTTTTTGGAGACAGGGTTTCTCTGTGTAGCTTTGGAGCCTGTCCTGGAAGTAGCTCTTGTAAACCAGGCTGGTCTGGAACTCACAGAGATCCACCTGCCTCTGCCTCCCGAGTGCTAGGATTAAAGGCGTGCGCCACCACTGCTCAGCTAGAAGAAGTGCACATTTCTAAGAATAATTCTTACCCAAACAGAAAGAAGTAGGGCCCGCACTGTGCCAAGCAAGAGGAGAAATCTCTCCCTGCAGGAGCATGTCTTCCTGGACCACAAATCCCCAGTCAGCAGGTGACAGTGTGACACTGTGGGTCTCTGGGACACAGAATTCGTTTTGTAGGAATGTACCACCTAACAGTCAGCAAGAAAGCCCTTGGGGTGAAGTACACCACTCTCTGTTAGACTCAAAGGCCATTAGGGTCCCTTCCTGTCCCATTTTGCCTTGCTTCCCTCAGGATTTAGGTCTAAGACCCAGGATGCTTCATGTCTGTGTCCCAGGCCCTCTGTGACTTGGCTCCTGCCTGTCTGTCCAACTACCTTCCATCCCTATTCCCTGTCCTCTATGCTGCTGTCACCAGGCTTTCTTGCTCTTGGGTCACAGATTAGCATGTCTGCTCTTCCTTCAGTCCCCAGAGCCGGATTCTCTGTCCAGTCCAGTTACTGCTCAGATGTGTTTCCTGGCTCACTGCCCTGATTGACCTTAGCTCCTCTCCCAGCCACTCTTTTTTTTTTTTTTTTTCTGCATAGTACTTAGCACCGCTTGAAAATGCTCTTGTGTACTGAAATCTCTCATGGTCCAAGGAGCATCTTGATAGAGGTCTATCCTGACACTGTGCCTGGCATGCACCAGGCCCGGGTGCTTGCTGAATGGGTGAATAAATGAATGAGTGAATGAATGATGAGTGTGTCTAGGTCTCTCTTACGCTGTCCTCCCCTCGTTTCCCAGGCTGGCAGGCCGCATCATGTGGCGGGTGGAGAGAGAGGGCACTGGGCTCACGGAGGGCTGCCTGGTGTCGGTGGATGACTTGCAGAACCACGTGGAGCACTTCGGGGAGGAGGAGCAGAAGGAGCTTCGGGTGGACGTGGACGCATTCCTGCAGTACTGGCCGCCGCAGGGCCAGCAGTTCAGCATGCAGTATATCTCACACATTTTTGGCGTGGTATGGCCTCGTGTCCCCTCCAGCAACCCTGCTCTTTCCTCTGCGTCTGTCTCCCTCCTCCTTCCCTTGTTCCCAAAGGGAACGTAGAGTTTGGCTTCTGTTTCCATGACAATGGCCACTAGCCCAGGCAGCCAGAGACATGAAGTCTGCCCTCTTGTGTCCCAGGAATAGTAGAAATACCTACTTTCCCTTCTGGTTCTGAATTCAGAGGCAGATTCTCACACTAAAATAAACCTAGAATCTTCCAGTATGAAGTATTTCTTATAATAGAAGGGCCACAGCAACTCTGGGTGTTATCCAACTAAGAAGCTTCCGGAAGCAAACCAGCCAGATTCAGGAGAGAAGGCCAGAAGTCTGGAAGTGACAGGGACTTAAAATGATGCCATTTTATCCCACCATATTTTTCCTCTCTTCATTTTCTATCTGTCTGTCTGTCTATCTATCTATCTATCTATCTATCTATCTATCTATCTATGTATCTGTTTGTCTGTCTGTCTATCTATCTATCTATCTATCTATCTATCTATCTATATCTATCTATCATGGTATCTTACCATGTGGCCCAGGTTGGCCTTGAATTCCTAACCCTGTATCTACCTCCTGAGTGCTGGAATTCAGGTGTGTGCCACTTCTCCTACCTCAGAGTATTTGCTCTTATTTGCTTTGAACACACACACACACACACACACACACACACACACACACACACACGCTATAGAGCATGGAGAAGTAAACCAGTATGGATATTGGAAAGGACTCCTGAGACCTACATATGGAATCCAGGAGCCAACATTCATATCTGTGGTGTCATTAGGCTAGAACTACTGGAAGTGTCAAAATGGTAGTGCTTTGGTCAACAAGGGACTCCCCTTATGGCACTCATCTTGGGGATCATTTGAAATTACCCAGGAAACAAAAAAGGGTCTGCAGACTCTAGGCATCTTCAGGATGAGAATGGGCTGTCTCAAAAAGAAATTGATTGATTTTATTATTTATCAGCTTCATACATGCACATAATATATTCTGATCCCTCTCTCCCCACTCCTATTATTTCCCTCCTATCTGGGTTACCATCCCCTCCCCCACCCCTACCTGTCCCTTTCCCAGACTCATGATTTTTGGTTCTGTTTTGTGACTCATTTAGTTTAAGCAGAGGCCCCTATTTTTCCCACTCTCTCGGCAGCTGGGGGGTATTCTGTACTGGATATGTGTCTGTTGACTGACCCTCCTCCTGTTCTCTGGGTAGATCAACTGCAACGGTTTCACTCTCAGCGACCAGAGAGGCCTACAGGCAGTGGGCGTGGGCATCTTCCCCAACCTGGGCCTGGTGAACCATGACTGCTGGCCCAACTGCACTGTCATATTCAACAACGGCAAGTGAGTACTCTTTGTCTGGGCTTGGGCAGTGGGGATCCTACATACTTTGACTTCAACTTGACTTCACTTGATTTCAACCAAAGGCAAACTTTTGAACTTGACTACCATGGATATCCAGTGTTCAGCAACCCAGAGTCTCAGTCCAGACTAACTGGGAGGAGAGGAAGGCTCTGAGGTGGATGTCAATTCCTTGAGACTGTCTAGATGTGTTTGATAAATCATTAACTACTGTTCTAAAACTTGAACTCTGAGATTACTTACCTGGAGTCAAAGCACCAAAGAAGGTTTCTTTTTTATTTTATTTATTTTTATTTTTTATTTAAACTAGAAACAAGCTTGTTTTACATGTCAATCCCAGCTCCCTCTCCCTCCCCTCCTTCCCTGCCCCTCACCGACCCCCTATCCCATCCCCTTTCTGCTCCCCAGGGAGGGTGAGGCCTTCCCTGGGGGAATCTTCAAAGTCTGTCATATCATTTGGAGCAGGGCCTAGACTCTTCCCTGTATGTCTAGGCTGAGAGAGTATCCCTCTATGTGGAGTGGGCTCACAAAAGCGTTTCTAGATTTAGCAGGCCAACAGAGAAAACTCTTGCTGCAGCCATTGAACGTCTGAGCTATCATAAGGTTCCTTTGGCTGAGCTGTGCTGCACAACCGTGCCTGCACAGATGCTAGTCACTGCTAGGATTGTGGGATAACAACTCCAAACGTGATCTCCTCCCCTTGGCCAACCTCACCCAGAAGTCAAAGAGCAAAGGAACCCGGGTGACGCTGTCCAGCCCTTTGCCCTCATGAAGGCACAGATCAAAGACACATGGGCAAATGCTTGAATCTTGGGAGTGGGGCACAAAAGGAAAGGGATCAATAAATAACCTGGGGCCTGATTGTGCATGGTTGAGGCTGGGAAGATCTGGAGGATGAAGGAAGTTTTGGGGAGAAAGCTGCTGACTGACGGCTCAAAGGTGGCTTTTATCTGGTATAATACACCATCTTTATGAGCAAAGGCAATGCATATTGTTCAGGCTTCATCCACCAGACAGTGATTTCTGGGTCTCAGCTGAGAATCAGGTTGATGTGGCAACATAACCCGGACCATGATTTCTTCCTTCCCTCCTGTTTCTGACCACAGCGTCTATAGCCATTGAGAAAGATTGGGAAAGCTTGATTTGGATTCTGAGAATAATGTTTTCCAGCATGTTATGTTTCTCTGTCTAAGCCTCCAGGCACAATTGAATCTAGACCTCGTGGAGTCTTCCTACGAGGGTGTGTTGCTCAGGTTTAGCCTGGTTAGCAGAATGAATCATTCTTAGCCATGCACAACTTTGAGATGGCCCTTCTGTAAGTGCCAGTTACCCAGGGTCCTTCTTGTCACTGTGTAATGATCTAGGAACCTAGGACCCCTACTTCAGGGCATCTCTGGTGTCTGCTGTAGATTCTTTTCATCTACTAATTGTGAGTGGCCATGTGCTCCCTGGGTTTGTTGGCTTTTATGTAAGAGAGGAGATCATTACAGTCACTGCCTGTCTGCCTACCAAACTGGAAATACCCCTGAATGTGGTATTACTGGACCAATTTTAACCACAATATGAAAGCTCTACGGATGCAATTCAGAACTCTTCCCCAAGAGAGTCATCCAAGAGGCTATGTTCTTTCATCATGCTTGTCAGTGGGACAGTAATAATATCCCTATATTTTTTTAGCTGTCTGTTCTCAAATGTGTTGTCTCATGACAGTTTCATTACTAGTTTCTAAGAGGAAGAATGAGGACATGGGGAAGGAAGTCAGTTGTTCAACAGTGAATCCCTCTGTAACCTCATGTCATAACCCAATTCCAATGCCCTTTCCACCATACCAATGCCCTTTCCATCATACCAGTGCGCTTTCCATTGTACCAGTGCGCTTTCCACTGTACCAGGCAGCATCCTGGCAGGGGAGGGATGGAGTTGGTTGTGATCTTCAGTGCTCTGATTGCGTTAGCCCAGAATGCTGTGCGCTCTTCTGGCTGTAGTGAGCAGCCGATGGTATTGATTTCCTTGTGGGTGTCTGTTTTGTCTTTCAGTCATGAGGCAGTGAAATCCATGTTTCACACGCAGATGAGGTGGGTCAGTCTTCTCACACATCCCTGTTTCTCTGACCCATCTCCCTCACTTGCCTGGCTTCCGGGACCAGCCCTTCCTGACTCCTTGGCTGCTGTCACGATGTGTCATGCCCTGCACTGCGGTGTCTCGGCTTCATTGAATGGCAATTTTCTATGCACTTGCAATCACTATCTCCTCCTCACCCTCCTACCACTTGGCTTGCCTCTGTTTTATTTTGTTTGCTTTCTTCTCCCCACCCCACCCCCACCTTTCATTCCTGACTTCTTCATGTTTACCTCAAAGCTTGAACTTTTCTAGTTCTTCATTTCAGCCCCAAACGCCGTTGTCTCCTTACTATTGTCCTTACCCCATTGTCTCCTTACCCCATTGTCTCTGCTTACCATGAAATAAGAATGCTTATTACTAACCAACCAAAGAACTGTGTGATTGTCTGTAGACCCAGCTTTTCATCCAAGCCAATAGTGCCCAGAGCTGTGATATTTTGGTAAATATGTACTCATAGTATACTTTTTACTGATCAAAACTATGAGCATGTGGCCTAGGTATTATTTTACTTTGAACCCTTTGATAGTTCATTCTGGAACCATTTTGAGTGACCATGGCCCAGGAACATACCTTTAGTTTACCCTAAATTCCATGTTCCAACATGGAAGAAGTTTAATGAAGGTTTTGTTTTTGGGTTTTGTTTTTTTTTTTTAATATAGTTTCTCAGAACAAAGAAGGCCATAGACCAAGCCAAACTTAAAATTTGTACATTGGTGGGTACAGCAGGGAGGCAGGTATGGAAAGATGGGAAGCTTTTTCTATAGGCCCAAGATGCTATCTAATGACGTGCTTAGCTTTTGGATTCAGAGAAGCTAATAGTCTGCTAAGTTAATAAATTCTACAAGGTCACAGGATATTAGTTCTGACACAGAGGTGGGCAAGGCATGGCTGTTCTGGAGGGCTAGAGCCAACCTAGAAAAGATAACCTCTGGACCGGCAGCATTCCAACCGTTCCACAACCCTGAAATTCTAGCCAGCTAATCAGTCCTGCAGCCAAGTTTCTTTTCAGGAGTCTTCACTCACAGCCTCCCTTTATGACCAATCACCACATTTTGCACATTTTTGGGGGACCGCATGTTATTTATTAAATACTATAAGGTCCCTCATAGATAGGAGCATTCATTTCTAGAATCTGTTGTGGATGAGGCTGAGTAATGGGCAGGACAGCATTCATTAGGAGAGAGGAATAGCTGGCAAAGGCTGTTAAGAAAGAAACTCATGGATCATATCAAAACCAGTACACATCGTGATCTGGATCTGAATTTCTTTTTATACTCCCTGTGCTGACATAACATGTAACATAGGATGACAATATCTAAACTTAAGTAATCAAGAACACAATTTAGCCTAATGGGGGCAAAAGTAACATATGAAACAAACATTTCTAAAATAACCAAAATTTACATATTTTAATGAGATTGATTATATAGTTCCCCCTGTATTTACAGTTATTTGTACTCTATGAACTGTCTTGCTTACATTAAAATGACTTGAAATGGGACTTTAGGACAAGTCACTGCAGGATTGTCTCCCTTTTTTATTAGTAAAAATTAAATATTGTTTAATTAATTTTTAAGTCTGGTAATTATACTATAGGACATTTTAGATACAAATTAAATCAATAAACATCAGTACTGAAGGAGCAAACCATCATGGATGGTGTTACTAGAGATTGATGTCATTCATCTAATTTGGATAAGAACAGTCAACCCAAAACCTTTGGATATCTCTAGAGTAAATGGAGTGAAAGTTTAATTTAAAAACTTGATGTTTTGTTTTGTTCATATTATATTGAACAATGAGAATATATATATATGTATATATATATAATACACACACATATATGTGTGTGTATGTGTGTGTGTGTGTATTTATTAAAAAAGTGAAAAGCTTGAATCTTTCACACATTAATTTTGAGTAAGTTAGGATTTAGGATAAGCAAATAGTCACAACAAAAAAGCATGATCAAATGAAAGAATACAATATTTTAACTTCATTAAAACCTAGATTAGTATTATTTTATCACTTAAGAATATATCAGGCAGAATAATGAATACCATAAACAGTTTTTTAACAGCTAATTACAAAAATATGTAAGAAACATAACAAGTGAGAGAAACGTTTAGTAACTTGGAGATGAATATCACGCAGCAGTTTGAAGGCCACATTAATTTCATGCAATGTTCCTGGTTGATGTGGGAAACTTTCTTATCTCCTGGGCACAGCCTGATCTTTTAATCAGAATGGCATCTTTGATGTGATGTCTTTTTTTCTTTCAGTTGATAGAATTGTCTCGGTTTGTTAATCTACTAGATCAAGTTTGATTGACCTGGATTCACTTGTCATTCCTCAGTGACAGGGTCCTAATGGGGAGGACCAGATGATGAGAAGCTAAAGAAGATAGAAAAGCTGGGGTCCAGTGATCTTTCACAAGTTATGTCTTATGCCAAGCAAGTTTATTAAGAAGTACAGAATCTTATAAATAGTTTGTGGGAGAAAAATAGGACAGTGTCAGCAGAAAGCCACCATACAATGGGACAACGTCAGCAGGAAGCTAATCAAGCAATATTGCACAAGGGGAAGACAGGATATCTCAGGGCATCATAGACCAAGCATGCAGCAGTGGCCTTGGAACTGATAACTCCCGTTTCTTCAGGGAGAAAAGCCAAGTTCCCAGGAATAGAAACTTTGATTCCTTTGAGTCTCTGGCCCCAGCCCCAGACTGTGCCTTGCTAAACCTGCCCTTGGGCAAGGATACAGACTAGATTCCTTCTGCCCTTTCATCAGGGCATCCGAGAAAGCCTTGGGCTGCCTAGCTCTCACCATTTTATAAACAGATTTAAACATCTGTCCATGGAAATAGGAATATTCTAAATGGACATATTTTTGTTTATTGAAATAATCTCACACACACACACACACACACACACACACACACACACATTTAAAGCAGTGACTGATTATTCAAAAGCAAAGGCTTTTGTCCAGTGGGAAAACATATTAAATCACAGGTTTTAAATGTCCTTGTAGTAAAAGGATACTAAGAACAAATCAATCCTTGAGAGAATATCATAGAAAATCAAGCATTAATTTTAATCTTAGGGTATTGAATTAATCTTTAAACTTTTATAAGCTCTTATACTGTTTATAACTAAGTCACAACTATATTTTTAAAACAACCTTCTATAGCATACTTTAATATTAACATTATTATTATTACAAAATTTAGGAAAACAATTTTAGTAAGATAATTTTAAATGAAAGCTCAGGAGGCTATATCTAAAACAAAAAAAACATATGATATCTTAGATATCTAAAAGTTATAAACACAGATAAAGTACATTGACTTCTAACCTAATGTAAATATTACTCGTTAAAGATCCAAGTTATTATAACATGCAGCTTGAAATGCATTTTTTGTTAGGAAAAGCATCTACTTTTCATTAGTGTTTGTGAGGCATCAAAAGCACAAGGCATCTAGATCAGAGTAAAGTTTGGCATTTATAACTTCATTATTATTTTTTCTAAACTAAAAAAACAGAGATGAGTAATTTCTAAAAATATGTCATTATGATGTTATACAATAAAGTGATCTGTAAACTCTAGGAGATCTGAATTAAGCCATAAAGTAGGTTTTAAATAAAAAAAAAATAGGGTTTTTTTTTTCTTTACATAGGTCTGGCTAAAATAAGGACCTTGAAAAACCTGTTTGTTTATGCATTTGTTTTTAAGGAAGCAGCAATGGTCAAAAATGTCCTTAAGATATTTGTTTTCATATGCATGTAAATGTATTCATATATATATTTATATATATATGCTCACACAGAAAAAATATCTAAAAGCATAGACATAAGTTATTCTCTTATTCTTTGGAATGAAGAGTTTAGTATCTCAAGGGCAGGCAATTATCTACTAGGAAAAATGCATTCTGCAGTAAGAGCAATCATCTCTCTAAGTTAATTTATATATTAAAGCAGTAGGAGCCATGTAGGAGAACAGAATTGAGATAAGGATTGAGGAGATAACATCTTGGCAAGATTATGTCTGGTTTGATTTGTTTGATTATGTAGTCTTATCTTTAAAAAGCAAATTTAAAATTTTAATTTCTTTATTGTTTATACGTGTATGGATGCTTTGCCTGTATTTTTACACACCATGTGCATGCAGTGCCCACAGAATTCAGAAGGGAGCACCAGACCCTGGGACTGGAGTTAGATCCAGTCTGGATCAGCCATGTGGGTGCTGGGAGATGAACCCATGTCCTCTGGAAAAGCAGCCAGTGCTCTTAACTGCTGAGCCATCTCTCCTGCCCAGATTTAATTTTTTTTAATAGAAAAACTTATGTTAACTGTCCCAAAGAAAGATTTAGGGCCATTTGTCATCTTTGTTGGTTTTACCTATGTGGTTACATTGATTAAATACACTTTTTGTCTTTCATCTTTATTCTGTTTCTTAAACTTTTAGTTTGACTATGAACCAAAATGAAGCTCGGCCAAGTTTACAACTTTAGCTTACATAAGCATTTACTTATAAGCCAATTTGGCAGTAAGTATATTATGCAAAAATAAACAAACCATAGCCAGGTGTAGACAGATAGTCTATCTAAGTAGTCAGACATAAAATATATTTTAGTAAACAGACTTTGAGCATTACTGTTTGTTGGGTTTATATTTTCTATAACTCTCATCATGAGAGCTTTAGTAGACACATATCTAATAATTTATATATAGTCCAATGTAATAAAAACTTGCATTTAACAGTTTAAACATATTTTGAAGATCATATGAATTTTATGTTACTCATTATATAAATGGAATAAAAATATATGTATATTTTAGGTATATATATTTAGAATCTGGTTTAGAAGGAAATCCTTGTCAAAATATGTATATATAGAGGTTTATGAAACATTCAATATTCCTAAACATATCATTTTAATAGGCTATAAGATGTT